TCTCATTGACTTTTTGTCTACAAAATTTAGTTACTACCATTCTCAGAGAAAATAACTAAACTAATTAATTCTAAGTTGGAAGATCATTCATTAATCATATTATGAATCCGTCAAATTCTAATTAAATCTACCAGATAGCACATGCAACCAAAAATTATTTAAAACCGCAACTTTTCCTCAATTTTTCGAAAGATTTTCTCAAAAAGTGCTTGTGAAACGGAAACATGACCTAAATTAAAAATTTTAGGAAAACCTAAATTTCCTCCCCTACACTTAAAAACTTACATTGTCCTCAATGTAAAGTGAAATGCAAAGAAGAGAACAAAATTATCTTAATATATGAATGCAAAAAAACAAAATGAAAACAAAAATAAAAATAAAAAGTAAAGGAACGAACTCTCCTGGGTTGCCTCCCAAGCAACACATTTGTTTATTGTCTTTGGCTAGACTTATTGCTTTCTTCCCTAATCGTCATAAATTGTATATAATCAAGTCACTGACATGTGTTATCCATGACTAATTGTGATCCAATTTGTATTAAATGTGACTAACTGTAATCAAATTTATATTCAATGTGACTATCTGTGATCAAGTTGATTTTAACTGTGATAATATATAATCAAGTCACAATTTACACAGAATTGGTCACAACTTTCATAATAAACACATATTTGACCACAAAGAGTCATCACAAATAAATCTTCACACACCGTAGACCAACACCACAGTCAACAACCATCACCTCCAACTTTATTACATTCACTGATTTGCGACTAATTGTGATCACCTTTGTTAAGATAGACTTGATAACACTCGATTTTCATCACCATTACCATTTTAGCACTACCACCACTCCCAACAATGTCAACTAAATCACAACCATCAACACCTTCAATAAATCCTAACCACTACCGGCATTATCGTATTGTCGCCACCACATGAAAGATTCATTGCCCGTAGCTGCAAGAAGTGGTGCCTCCTTCAAAGCCTCTAAACACCAACCAACCACCTCCCAAGCAATCGAACTTGACCACTGACATGACCATCTCAACATCCTCTACAAACCTCGACCAACATTTAAGCATGATGCCTTCCCAAAGTACCAAAAATCAAGCAAACACTAGTAGCTACAGACTATTTTTTGGGCAACACCATCTTCAACAATGCCCATGCCAGTACCACCACCTGCATAAAAACACACCACTACCTCCTCCAATCCACCAATTCATTACCATAACCACCGTCACATCCACATCAGATATAAATTGAATCACCACCACAACCCATACACTACACCACAAATTCAAAGATTCACAGCACCACCATCCCCATCCCCTACAGCCCTACATCATATCACTTGCAAAAAATTCATCACACATAGCTGCAAGTCTCACAGTGATGCCTAGCACGAGATGTGTGTGTTGTGTGCAGCCACTGGAAGAGAATGAGTGGTAACGGTTGGAATGAGCCATCAAAAGAAAGGGAGAGGAGCCGTCGAAAGAGAGTGAGAGACAAGGAATAATGTAGAAGAGAGAGAGAAGACGAGAAAATTGATTTAGAGGTTTTGGATTGGTGTAGGGTGGGTTGTGTTGGGTTGGGTAGCTTGGGGTAATTGAATTTCATTATTTCGACTAATCTTATTTACTACCTGGTTTTTGAATTTAAGACTAATCCTCCTTAATTATGACAATTGATCTTTTCTAGATATCTTTTCTCATTATTATTTGTACATTATTGTTACAATAATTAACTTTACATTTACACGGATTTCATTAATCATTATTTGAAAAATGTTGAAATCATTTTTAATGATATCTAGATCTTTATACCTTAGTAATAAACAACGTATAGTTCTATAATAGATAGATATATTATTGTACCCTATCAGATTGTTAAGTGATGATCTTTGTGATTTAATGTATACTTATTTATTTGTAATTTAATAATTTAATTAGACATAATTAGGTTCAATATAAGAATACCATTAATTGACCTTGAGAGAGACTGTTGATTAAAATTTGATTATTGATTTTCAACGTAGACAAAAATTGATAGTTTACAAGTAATTTAGAATTGAATTAAGGTCAAAATCAATGCATTTCATAGTTTGATTAAACTCTTAAATTTTTTTTACATAATTTTAGTTGCATACTTTTGTAGATAATTAGATATAATTAAAGTCAAAATTAAGTCATTAGTTATTGGATTTTAATTAAAGTAAATAAGTAGGTAATGAGTTTTAATAAATATAAGACATATCACTTTATTTATGATCCTTTCATTTACATGATAAAATTATTAACACCTTTTTACTGGAACAGCCATTTATCGTATAGATAAGCATTAATACTTTTTCCTATCAATATGCATTTGATGTTTGAACTCATCCTCATGACTTCACCGAGGAATGCTTCGATAAATTCCTTTTTCCACAACCTTGCAATTATTCATAGAGCCCCTATTTTGGGGGAAAAGTGTTTTGGAAAAATGATTTTTGAAGAATGTGTTGTTAAAAAAATATTTAGGACTCATTCGGTAGTGATTATGAGAATTGATTTTTTGACCGTTAAGGAGAAAAGTGGGGACCACAAGTGATTGAAGAAGTAAAAAATGGCGGCTAAAATAATATAATAACACTCAAAAAATCAAATTTTTTGGGATGAAAAAGCACTATCAAACCGGGGCTTAAAAGTTTTTGGTTTACGTGTAAAATTATTTTATGAAAAAAATATATTGTTGAAAATGAATTTTGAAAAAAATAAGTTATGAAAAATGGGGCTCAGGCTGAATTTGTTCACATTCAGATATATATTCATTATTCAGGGTCCGAACTCTCTCCTCTCTACCATCAATTATAATTATCAGTTTTTAAGAATTAAAAAAAGTAAAATTTTAATTGAAATCTGATTTTTAATCTAGAAATTACAAGCTTTATAGAATTCTTAATGTCGGTATAATAAAAAAGATTTGACAGTCATTGAAATATTGGGATTTATTTGAAATGGTTGGTTTGATTCCACATTGTCTGGATTTCGATCTTTTCAAAACTGAATTAAACCTTTTGAAAATAGTTTGATTTAGGCTTTGACACTTAAAAATCGTTTGAAAACAAATCATCTCGTTCACCATTTAAAAAAAAAAAAACTTGTTTTTGTTCAAAATATATAATTTATTAGATCAATTTATACGTCAACAAATAAAATTTGTTAGTCGGCCTCTATTGATTCCTAAGTAAAATAATAATTTTCTTTCTAAAGAATGAAATTACAAGTTTAAATTTTATGGTTGAACTTATAGTAATGTTTAAATTTGTATTGACACAAAAACATTAGTACTATATCATTTATGTTTGGAAGGTTTCAAGAAAAAACTAGTTCCAGAAGCATCTTCCATTCATATCGATTTGAGTTTTTCCGCACCATCAAGTTTTCTAAAAAGAGGAGCTTAATCAACGTTTTTACTCCAATGATGAAACTTCTATATACGTATTATAGCAAAATTTTAGACAAATATATTTATTTTTTTACATCTTTGAAAAAGGGTAATTAGCACAAAATGTCCCTACCTTTTGATGTTTTTGTGGAAAACGTCCATACCTTTCGTTTTCTGACGGATTACACTCTCACCTTTACATTTTTTTGCACAAAACGTCCTTCTGCCTACTCTCCGTTAAAATGCTCCATTAAATCAAATGGTAATTAGCACAAAAGGTCACTATCTTTCAATATTATTGTGCAAAATTTTCATACATTTTATTTTTTTGGCATAATTAGCACAAAAGGTCCCTACCTATCAATATTATTGTATAAAACGTTCCTACCTTTCACCTTTCATTTCCCAAAAGGTCATTTTCATCCATTTTTTTCAATAAAATGACGATTTTACCCTCCTATTCAAATAAAAAAAAAAGAAAAGAAAAGAAAAATAAATAATTAATTACAATCATAGTCCTAAATCTTTCAAAACATTACAGATAAATCCTAAATTCTCCACTACCGCCACTTTCACAACTCCACCAAGCCACCACCTATAGATCCATATAGCACTACCTTTTGACCATAACACCTATTGCACTCCACGACCACCAGTCTCGCCTCACTCCCCCCAATATCCTTCCCCATAGTATTGGTCACAAATGTATCCGAAACAACCATATTTACGGTAGTGGAGTCTTGTGGGCATGGTGGCCGAAAAGTGGTGTTATGTGGATTTATAGTTGACAATTTGATAGGTTGTGAAAGTGGTGGTGATTGAGAATTTATGATTGTTTTGTAATTTTTTACAAATTTAAGGACTATGGTTACAGTTGGTAATTCATCTTTTTTTTTGTTTTATTTAAATAGAAGGGTAAAATCGTCATTTTATTGAAAAAATGAATGAAAATGACATTTTGCGCAATGAAAGATGAAAGGTAAGGGTGAAAATGCTAAAAATGAAAGGTAGGGACTTTTTTCACAATAACATTGAAAGTAGAGACCTTTTGTGCTAATTATGCCAAAAAATAAAAGGTAAGGACATTTTGTACAATAATATTTAAAGGTATGGACCTTTTGTGTTAATTACCCTTTGATTTAACGGAGCATTTTAACGGAGAGTTAACAGAAGGACGTTTTGCACAATAAAATGTAAAGGTGAGGGTATAATCCACCAAAAAAATGAAAGGTATGGACGTTTTCCACAAAAAACATCGAAAGGTAGGGACGTTTTGTGCTAATTACCCTTTGAAAAATGTTATTTTGATTTCACTATAAATATGATTTGAAACTAATAAATCTAACAAAAAAAAAAATTGATTTGGTTTGAAAATTTTGATCTAATTTGATATTTTTTTCGAACCATTTAAATTTTGGTACTTTATAAAAATAAAACAGAAACTGCCAAAATCGAAACATGGTGAACCCCTGATTACAACTTACAAGACCGTGTCGGAAATTTCTCAAAATAAGTGAACAAAGCTTACGTGGCAACATCTTGCTGAGGAAACTGTACTCACCGTACCCATTTCACCGTAGTCAATCTTTCACAAATGAATCTCACACTCACTGTTATAGTGTTACACAGAGAACAGAACCCTCACCCTGTAAAGGAAATCGCAGTGGTGTGTGCGAGAAAATAATGGAAGACGAAGTTCAGACAATAGTGATGAAAGATTATTTTACTGAATTACAGAAAGAAATGAATTTCGAGGTTGAGCCAATGGAAATGGAAGACGATTTTCTCGAGTTCACACTAGCTGAGGTAATTTCGGTGCCTGTTTTTCTAAATTCAATGGTAATCTTCAATTAAGCTTTCACAAGTTAGCTATTTTATTTTTGTTGAAGAATTTTACATAATTTTGGTGTCAATGAACTGAAGTATTTTTCCTTTTTTTTTTTTAATTGCGATACGACTGCAAATTATATCTTTGCATGTTCTGAATGGAGCATCAATCTCGAACACAGCTTTGATTTGCTTGACTTATTTTTTGTGCTTCATGACAGCGGTCACAATTAAAAAAAAAAAAACTTATGCTTGGGCATTCGACTTGATACTGGTATAGAAGTATGCTTAGTGAGCGCGTTACGGTGTAAACTTTAGAATGTGGTGGTTTTCGCTTTCCATGCTGTGATATTTGTGGATTTGCTGTTACCCTCTTACTGTTAATCCAACAAAATCGTGAATGAAGCAATAGTTTGAGTAGAACTGTGCCACGAGTGTAATAATTAGTTCAAGAGGTAAGTCCTGGGGGTAAGAAAAATGGAAGCCTTTTGGACTCATTCTGGAAATACCCAGAAAAAATTAAAATAAATAAAATAAAATAAAATTCAATAGCAACATGTCGAGGAGAAATAATTTTCTTTCCCAGTAGTTAAGGGCTTAGTTACTGCTAATTTGTGTGGATTGCATTATATGTAGTACCGCTTTACAGTTTATACATACATGATGTACTCGAAGAAATCTATATTGACAAATATGAGACATGAGTTTTATTATTTTCTAAATAATAATTCAATGCACCATATAGAGGAGAAAAACAATTTTTTCCACAGTAGTTAAAGAGCTACGCTGCTTTGAATTTGCTAGGATTGCATTGAATAGAATAGCATGCCCTGCTTCAAATTTCATACATACTTGATGCACATGTTGAAATCATTACTGACATCTACCAAGCACTGTGAAACAAGTTAAGAATCATGTGACGAATCGAAGGCAGTACAGTACCTTCAGTTTCTGTTGGTCGGTGTGATTCTCCTGCCGGAGTTAATGTTGCATTTTACATCAATGAAAATACCAATCTGAACTTCTGTTGCGGTCTTACAGACCCTGCATGCTGCGTTTGCATTCTTCACTTTCCATGAATTACACTGTAGTGGAGAATGATAATTATCTTGGCTACACTTCAAAATGATCACCCTTCTGTGTAGCTATCAGCCATCCAATTTCCATCTCTAGGAGTTGCTATAGTATCCGAGTATTAAATTGTGCAGAATCTGGTTCCTAGCTTGTATGTGAAAGGGCAAAGCCGCAACGGAGAGTACTGAATATATGCATAACAATACTAACCCACACAATTTTTTTCTGCTCACGTGATCTCGTCATACACTTCTACATCCTATCAAATATGTCTAATCTTCTCAAGTATGTCAAACAAATCTGAAAAGATTCTGAGTACTGAAGACGAACTCTTCTGATCTGGAAAATGCTGCTAGTACACTGCATGCCCATCAGTACTGGGAAAAAAGTATTGAAGCAGTGAAATTAAATTCTGAACCTCAGGTGTAAGTATCCTTCCTTCAGGGGAAACTCAGCTGTCATTCAGGATAAGAGAACTTAACAAAAGGGAAAAATACAGTGAAATTTTACCATTTTGAAATTAAATGTTTCTTTTCCTTGTATTCTTAAGTAGAAAAGTTTACGATGTTTTGCTGGAAACTTGTCATTATACAGCCACTGAGATTGCTTTAGATACATACGGAGGAATCATTTATTTATAGGTGAACATGAGATCATATTGACATTTGCTTTCTGAGAGAACTTGGTTGATATAGTGTTGTAGTCATGGTACATTTCGGTTCAGCTCTTTCTCTAATTTCAATAGTTTGAAAAAGCAAAACTTTCATGGGTTTTCTTTCTATTCCCAAATTTGAACATTTCAGAAATTAATTTCTATTGAAAATAACATTTTCAAAACAACGAAACTAGAGATACAGTTATAACAACCATGACTAAATGGGTGCTGTTCATGTTCTATGTGTACTGGGTTTCATTGTGACTTTGCACTTTCTTAAACAGATCGTGGAAATGGAGAAAAAATTTAAAGAATCGAAAGAGAAAGCAATCAGTCAGGTGATTTGTCAAGAACTTGCAACTAAGTTTAGGTATGTTCTTTCCTTAAGTATATCTTATTACCGGACTGATTGAGGCTAACTGAGTGCTTCAGACAGTATTTCAGTTTGTGCTCTTCCCTTTATATTCATTTTATTTTTCTGAATTTATTTGATGTCTGTATTGTTTGAGCAGTTGCTCACCACACCGATCTGAAAAATCTTCTGTAAAATGGGAACAGGTGCTTCTTCTAAATTTTTTGGATTTTGCTTTTTTGGTTATATAAACAGTTGAATTCTCTTGAAAATTTTTATTACTTTATTTACCCGTCTTACGTTGTAGGTGCAAGGATGGTTCCAAGATAAAGAGAAAAGTCTTGCAGCTAAAGTAACCTCATCTTCTTCTTGCAAAGCAATTGTTGCTTATACCAATCCTGCACCGAGGAGGAAAACACCTAAAGGTTTTTCAATGTTTTCGTTGATAAAATATCATTAAAAAAAATAATAATAATAATAATAATAATAAATAAAATAAAATAAAATAAAATAGAAAGAAAGAAAAAGAAAAGAAAAGTAATTAGAGCTCATAATAGCTCAAAATTCATCTCTTATACATGGTTGTTTTCAAGGTGATTACTTTAAATGAATTCTTGTCATAATTGTCCCAATAATTACTGGTTATATGCATATCTAGCGTCCTTAAGGTTATACATTAGCTATGTGGTGGTTTCACTCATTTCAGAATAAGTTGTACATCCTGTATCCTTCCTTGCCTCATCATTAGTATGAGTAAGTGGCCTATTAAAGCTAGTATAGAATTAACGAATAACTTGATGTTAAATATTAGGAAAAAAGGAAACACCTAAAGAAAGAAGGTGGTTGACATTATAATGTTCTTACGCTTCTTGGACATTTTCAACATAGGAGACTATGCCCGAAGAGAAAAGAACCCCTCTCATTTGCAATTAGGGTGCGTCTATTTTTTTTATTTTTTCAACTGATTAAAATGCTGTTGTTTGGATTTATGTTAGCCTTTTACTTATCTTTCTGAAGTAGTTTCCAAAATATTGGGTAAATATTTGTTCAGAGTGCATGATATTGTGTTTGAATAAGACCAACCCAGCTTTTATCCTATATTCATAGAGCTGAATGTTAAACTGGGTTTTGATATGAAATAGCATTTAATCAATATTTGGATTCATTCTTAATATGAATTATTTTTAGCTGGCTTTTATTCTTATACGAGTTAGGAAGTTAATTTATTCTTAGGTAGCATGTTACACTGTCATCAAACATGGTTTACGAAGCTAATTTTTCTGACTTCACATAGTTGTTTAATTTTCAAAAGTTTAATTTTCTTTTTGAATAAGCAAACATGTTTGATTATCTTTTAGTTGGTGTGACTTGTGAGATTATTTTCTTTCAAAGATTGAACAATTCGTACGCCACTTCAAATACAATTCAGTGGATAAGTGTTTCAATGACCTGCAAGTTATTTTCCTGAAATCATTTTTATGTGTACTTGATAATGATTGAGCAATTTATCATTTCAGATAAATGTCCTGTGTCTCTGTTTCTCCCTTTACCAATTTTTTTGGGTGCTTTTATTAATTAAAAGTCCCTTATCCATCTGAACTTTTATAGCCTTGTTTAGCTTCGCATTCACAAGAATTAAACATACATATAACTCGTTCAAGTGATGCTCCTATATTTTACTTGGGGCTGATGTTTGCTTTGCAAATTAGTGCCAGTATCGACAATTTCTGCTGATGAAGCAGCTGTGGCACTTTCAAACTTGATTTTTGAAGCTAAATCAGCAAAAGACTATGCTTGGTGAGCAGGCACTCAAGTACTTTTCAGTTGTTTCCTAATGTTTTGATGTTGATCTTCCTTTAGTATACCTGCAAACCAACATGGATTCAATTTGAAGAGTAGAATTCCCTTGTCATTTTAAACTAAATTTCAATTGGATTTTTGACTCAATTATTTTACTGCATTCATAACCAAATTATTATTGTTTAATACATACACACATCATTCAAGATGATAATTTTGCCTTCATTTTTTTCCCTTTTCCACCTGATATAGCGTGCATGCGAATAAATTTTGGCAAAACAGTGTTAATGACCCATTTAATCTGGAATATAACTGTTTTGACTGCTCATATATTTCAACATACTATTCAGTAACACTTGAACATCCTCCTGAAAACTTAACTCATTGACTGGGTGAAGTTAACAAAGTTCCATGAAAAATTTTGTGAATACAGTAGAATTTTCGTACATCTGCCTTGTCTCACATCATGATCATTTCATAAATGGCTTGTCCTAAATATTGATTTTTTGTTTTTGGGTTTGTGGTTTTGTTTTTGGCGAGACAAACATCTACGACACCAATTTAGTTTTGTCTCAAACAATGACATTCCAATTACGGATTAATGGAATAATATATTTGCATTCTACAACATAAAATACTAAATCTATCTTACTTTGTTACTAGTTTACATAATTTAGAAACATCCTGATAGAGCTTCTTTATATGGTTTCTTAGGTTTGATGTTGGTTCTTTCCTCAACTACAAAGTCCACAGTTCAGGGGAAGTGGTAAGATTCTTCCACTTCATTGCTTGTTGGTCTTCCTTCATACCCACAACCCCTCCCTCAACACAGAAAACCTCTGTTCGAAGACTTTGCATGTTTTAGTTTCCAATCTTCAGTAATTTTTATATTTTGGGATTCTTGTCATGTAGGCTAAATCAGTTCAATCTTATGATGATGATTATTTTTTCACATTACTTAAATATTTGTAATCATTATCTAGATTTGAGTTTCTACTTCTTAAAAACAAAAAACTAGTGTTAAGCTTCTGCAGCCAGTTCTTTCTGGACTTTTGATTACATGATAAATCTGAATGCATTTTCCAAGAAGCTGAGAACCTGCTATTTGGCCTTACCGAGATTCAGTTAATGTCTGTATACTGCTAGTGAAAACTATAAGATTTTTGGTGATATTAACCCTTAAATTGAGTATTAAGATCTTAAAGATAATTGTGTTTGCAGTTGAATTTATATGGAAAATAAATTGATTCCTCAAGAGTGCCAGAACTTGGAAATTATGAAATATTCCTGCATGATCCAGGGCTAGAAATTACCCTAACCTTCTTTCTTTTATGACATCCATTACAAGGAGATGCCCCTGCATCTGTAGACAATTTATTTAATGGAATTGGTATTATAACTCTAGTCACTTCATAGAGAGGAACTTAGCAGCCAATTAAATTTATTTCAGTGTTCATAATTTAATAGGTACAAAACATTATTTAGAATTTGTTGAGCCTCACCCAATAAAGGAGAACTGTTTTTCTTTTATGCACTAAATCTACTGATCTGAAAATCAAACTGGTTTATCATCATTGTGCAATAGGTAAGCCCTCCCTTGTATAATTGCATGCCTGGAAGGAAAAAGATAAAACAAAAAATAAAGAAGCATGAAAAAACAAATTTACATAATCCTTGTGCATTCAATGCAAGCATGCACATCCACAGATTCTGCCATGACTCGTCCTACTGCCCACCAGTCCCCAGACTGATATTAGAACTTATTGGACTGGGATACAAATGCTCTATAAGAACAAAAATTTACCTTAACAATTAATTGAATTATGCAAGTGTTGAACTTGTTGAAGTCCATTATATATAGAGGGATTTCACTTAATAATTTGTGTGCAAATTTTTGTTTTAATATGACAGGCGGTTCGTGTGAGATTTGCTGGCTTCAATAAAGATGAAGATGAATGGATTAATGTACAAGAGGCAGTACGAGAACGCTCAATTCCTTTACAAGTATCGGAATGTCACAAAGTCAATGTTGGAGATCTTGTACTCTGCTTCAGGGTATGCTTCAGTCCTTATTTCCAATCGCATTTTGCCTCTTCATCTTGTTGTAGCATTCTGTCTGGAGCAAATAAAAGCTGCACGATTCTTTCCTCTTTCCGAGACTTTTCAATATTAAATTATTAATAATATACAAATATAGGACCGATCTTCATGTAGGTTTTGCTTTTTGATAACATTCTGTTGTCTTTCCAGGAAGATGAGGATTATGCACTTTATTGTGATGCGCACATTGTGGATATCCAACGGAAATTACATGATATCGAAGGCTGCAGGTGCATCTTTGTGGTCAGATATGTCACAGATGACTTTGAGGTCAGTCGCCTCTCTTTAAGCATATTTTATATCACTATGGAATTATCTTCAAATTCATCTAGCTAAATTAGATAGCATAGAACTGGGAACATGAAATTGATATCAGCGATGATAGCAAAATCGTCCTTTTCCAAGAATTCTAATTCCATGGTACCTATTTTATGTTGTTACTTGGGTATATTTGACATGCTTAAAAATCGAATTTCTGATGGTGTTCTTTGTGATACCAGGACAAAGTTGTGCTTAACAAATTATGTTGCAGACCACCATCTTCAGCCTCCATCCCTGCTATCGACTTGGAGCCCAGTGTGATGAGCGAATGAAAAGAAAAAGTATTTGTACGAAGTGGTCAAACTTGGCATGCCATCTAAATATGGTTGAGTGATAATTAGAAAACATATATATCATCGGATTATGCAATCTGTGTAATTTCTGCTGTTCCTTTGTCACTCACTAGTTCTTGATAATGTCATTTAATATGCATTCAATGGGTACAGTTTATGCAGTTTTGCAGGCTCCTTACAACCCTCTTTGCTTTCTTGATGCTGATTTGCATTTAAATTCTGAAGGTACACAGGATGTGCTATGCGACCTTATGATTTCAAAGGTTTTAATCAAATATTGGAAATCAATGTCACATTCAACCATCGAAAAATAATAATGTTACTTATATATAATGAAGCTACGTAATTCTTTACATACATATGAGGTGTCAAAATAGGGGGGGGGGGGGAATATTTTTTCCCCCCCCCCTTTTTGAAGAAATTTAGACCCCAATATAAATCATTATGCACATGTAGAAATTTAGACCCAATCATTTTTCCACATTGTGTGTATAAATCATTATACACGTAGCACAACTAATTTGAAAGAGATATTGAAGCGGAAGATCATAAAATGCTTCACTTTCTACACTATTGAGTTTTCTTCTCATTTTTCAGTAAGAATCCTTCACGGGCCAAGTATTAAAAGTAGTGCAAACCTCACAAGCTCTTTCTGTATTCGAGGATCCTGCATAGATAAGGGACATGCAGGAATACTTAAAGACGGTTACCACTTTGGTTCTATTTGGAAGGATCAACTTTCCCCATGTGTTAAAAGACCATCTTGCTCTTGGAGCAAGATCAAACTGGTTGAAGACAGTTTGGCGTGTGCAATTACGTGCTCATGCACAAGGTCACAGTTAAGTCCACTGGTTTTCATCCAGAATGCAAACATTCCGACAAAGTAGCAATGACATTGATAAAAACGCATTCCTTTTTGAAGAAATTTAGACCCCAATATAAATCATTATGCACATGTAGAAATTTAGACCCAATCATTTTTCCACATTGTGTGTATAAATCATTATACACGTAGCACAACTAATTTGAAAGAGATATTGAAGCGGAAGATCATAAAATGCTTCACTTTCTACACTATTGAGTTTTCTTCTCATTTTTCAGTAAGAATCCTTCACGGGCCAAGTATTAAAAGTAGTGCAAACCTCACAAGCTCTTTCTGTATTCGAGGATCCTGCATAGATAAGGGACATGCAGGAATACTTAAAGACGGTTACCACTTTGGTTCTATTTGGAAGGATCAACTTTCCCCATGTGTTAAAAGACCATCTTGCTCTTGGAGCAAGATCAAACTGGTTGAAGACAGTTTGGCGTGTGCAATTACGTGCTCATGCACAAGGTCACAGTTAAGTCCACTGGTTTTCATCCAGAATGCAAACATTCCGACAAAGTAGCAATGACATTGATAAAAACGCATTCGCAAGAAATGCAAAGTTTGTGAGAAGTGAATTAGATTAACTGAGACTGTATATAAGCGTAAAACTGAATTCTAAAGTATCAGAGTTCCATCCCGTGCTTGGCAATGTAAACATGACAATAGAAGATCCGGGCTTAAAGCCCATACAGAGACTTATTATTGAACGACTATACACAATTGAGGTCAATATGTTAAAAACTCCTACCATCCTCAAATTTGCATGCAAGTGAATTTTGGTAATACACAACAGATATCAGCCTCAAGCTATAACTTCTCTTACGGTAACTACAACTAAAAAACTCTTAAAAACATGGATGCCTCTACAGAAACCCAGGTTCTTTCTTCCAGCTGGATTGCCCAAAGTCTTGATTTTTGAAATTATGGAAGGTAAATATAAAAACGTAGCAGCCCTACGAAACTGTACGGCCATAACAAACAGATGCAATGTACAGATTTTTTCCCCATTTCTCCTAAAATTCAAGAAAAGGAAAAAATATTTTTTAATCTGAATAGATTACCAAGCAAATAATGTAAATAGAGGCGAAAAAAGAAAACCGACTTGTTTATGATAGATCTACCTTGACATGCGTACTGGGAAAGGCAGAAGTCCGAAGTGTCTCTTGTGTTTCATCAGTTGGTTTTCTTCTTGGAACACTTAAAACAAGAGCAGTCTGATCTACAGTTGCTGCAGTAGCAGTTATACGATATCCAGCATCCCAGCGCCGATGAACGCCTTCACTTGGATAAAGAAAATCTAGCTCCACAACCTAAAAATGGACATATTTTTAGCTAAGATTATCAGAATGGAAACACCAATGCAAGGGGAAGGAAGATAATTTTGCGTAAGAAACCTGGTCTGAAAACCCAGCACCACGAGACATGACAACTGCCCATCTACTACCAGACGTGGCCATGCAGGTAACGTAAAAACCTTCTCTCCACTTTTTGTTTATCCACTTGAATGGGAAAGATTCACTCACTTTGTAAGATTGTTGCAAATACTGAGTGCCTGAGTTTAATTAAATCAGATCTGAGTCAAGTACAGCATATATAAAATTTAAACAACGGTGATAAAGCATTCATACACAGACACTTACCTTTTGACATTACTACTAATGAACTCCCATTTGTTGATCCTGCAACTGCACTGATGTAATAATTCTTTTCCCATTGCTCCATTATCCATTCCTAAATATACAGTGAAAAAAAAAAAAAAAATAATAATAATAATAATAATAATAATAAATCATAAATTGAATGTTGTCATCATCTCTAGATCATAAGCATCCTTATCAATAATCCAACATTTGGAAAATAACCCTAATTTTTACATACCTTGTGAAGAAAGGAAGGTGATAGGTCATAAACTTGTGCATTAAAGCCAGTGCCTGCATCCATTATTAGTGCCCACAGATTTTGAGAAGATGCTACAGAACTAATAAATAGGCCATCTTCTGTTCCTCTTTCAATGTGCTGGGCAAGCCTTGAATCCATCACATTGTAGTGATACCTTCAATATCAACACAACAAAATCATGAAATTCAGGTGAAGGTAGAGCAAAAAAGAATTTTACTAAAACTCTGAAACAAGTAGTTGAGAATCTATGTATTGCGGAAAAACCAAACAAATTAATAGTGTTGAAGTACGCCCTGCTATAAGTCACATGAGCACAAATTCCACCAACCACTAGGCAATATTATAATTAAGGCCATCTAAGGCAAACAGTTTCAATAATAGAGGAAAACCACATACCTTTGCTTCATGGGTTTACGAGCATTATAAACACTAATCCACTGTGTAGCAGGCATTCCCACACGAACTTTCTTTCTTGGTTGTTCTTCTTCCTCATCTTCAAAAGTCAACCGGCCTCTCTTATGACCAACCTGATAGATTAGCTTCATTTGCCAAACGTAAAATTAGACATGCAGCCAAATTGTCTTTAGGTAAAATTTTACATCTTGGCTTAGCGAGAGAGAGGGAAAAAAAATCAAAGAAAATTGTAGGTACCTTCTGTGCACCCTCCGTGTTGATCGGTCTGATATTTGGATTTGGTCCGACGATCCCATCAAAAAGGGATATACATTTGGCATAATTTGGTTCCTCGTCAAATTTCAGATTTACGACATACTCCACGAACAATTTGAAGGGTTGAGGACAAAAGCAGCAAAGAGCCTCTGGCGACGTTGCCATCTTTTTCTTGCAAACAAGAAATCCTTTGTTCTCACCCTAGGAGAAGAATAATAATGCCAAGATAGTAAAGAGAAGTTGTGAGTATAAGACACGATCATAATTGGGCATTGCCAAATAAAGCACGTCGAAGAAATGAGCATGTTAACTTTTAGCTTCAGTAGTTCAGAAGACCAACCTGGTATCCTTGCCAAGGCAACCGTCCACGCAGAAGGAAAATGAGTGTGTAAGCAAGAGATTCTAAATCATCTCTCCTGCTACCAGTTCTCCCTAAATGAGCATGAACACTGGCATAACGAACAGTTCCCCTGAGAGAAATAAAATAGTTACCACCATTCTAGCCAGAACTTGTCCTCACAGAACAGAATAACTACTCAGAAAAAGAAGTTTCTGTCTACAATGAATGCCCGTACCTGAAAACATCTGGCCTTTGGTCATAGTGGACATGCAGACCAGTGCCGTCCCTCCATTTTGTAGCTGATTGCCAAACAGAACTTGAAATGAGATTCTTCAAACAATAGTGGAGTACAAACTGAAACCTGGGATTAGTTGAATATGTGAAGTACCTAAACCAAGATCAACCAAGAATAGTTTTTTCTCATCAGAAGTCCCTGGTGGACCAAGCAAGAAATTCTCAGGCTTCACATCCCCGTGAACGTACCTGCCATCACCTAAGATATTAGCTAAAAATTCATAAATGATACATCTAAAAGATAGCAGGCACACGAAGTGATATTAGCATATAAGAGCATAAGAAAGTTTGGAACATATTCCAACACATCTAAAAGATTCAGAGAGTAAAGTATACTAAGAAATTCTCCAGTATTGGTTCATTGACTTTTGATACCATCCATTTTATTGGCACTATTACTTTTCCGTTCTCTTTAAATCAGTCCCAATACAATGCGAGTCTGAAACAAATTTTACACTTCCTAAACTACCCTCTACCAAAAGACGTCAATTGTTCAAGCAACCTGTATTAAGAAAAAGTAAATCTGGTCATATAAACATTTTACCAAACATTATAACTAACAAATGATTTGGCAGCAGGCAAATAATTTGGGTTGTAATGCGAACTTTCACCACAAGACAAACCTCACAACAGTAATGATAAGGCCATTTGTTGTACGCAAGAAACAGCATGCTGATAAAATGTGAGCTTCCTAGGCTATTGTACCATAAAGTTGTGGAAAATCAAAAAGTTACTGTAGCAACAAGTTATCATAGCAACACAAATTATCTTTTGATTTCTAAGATATACTCGTAATTCTATGATCCAGACTAGCTCTCTCTCTCTCTCTCTCTCTCTCTCTCTCTCTCTCTCTCAATAATAGTATCCCAGGCAAGACGCTTTCCTCATTAACGAGAACAATCACAACTGTAACCAAATTGTTTATCATTTGGTTTGCAACCCCTACTACATATGCCTTCACATATTTACTATAAATAATATGTTTCACAAATATATCACTCCCTTTCTTTTTCTGAATATATGCCACATTTAAAAGCAGATTCCAAACGCTCCATGTTATTACAATGAAATAAGCTTAAGCAAATGTTGGAAATGAAATCAAAAGGAAACTTCGCATTGTTTGCAAAAATTATCGAAGAAATACAACCGGAAGAAAGGGAAAAGAATAAAGGTCATGTTTGAGGAGGGGGTGAAAATTGATGAAAGTAAAAGGAAGCAGATTAACGCATCTCAAATGAAAAATCCAGCCAGTGAAAGACTCACCCCTTGGAGTGCATCTTTTCCAATATAGATATTGCTTCAATGCCAATGCATGCCACCATTTCATTGTTCATCCTGAATTTTATGAGCCAAAAGATTTAATTAAGCACCAGCAAAATTTGATAAGCATCAACTATTGATATTAAAATCAGATAGCCTAATATCTTTGTTTTCGCTATACTCACGAGTGAGAGTTATTATTCCAAACGTCCCACAAGCTAGGACCAAGCATATCCATTACCTGCAGAAATCAAGTCTCTATTTATGTAACCAAATGATTATAAATACTGATTACAAAGTTGAAAAGGAAGTACTAGAAGAAAAATGACAGAGCAACCGTAGCATTAACATACCATCACATAATAGTCACCTTGTCGGCCTTTGTAGTGCACTCGTGGTACACCATGGCTTCCCCCTAGAGTACTGTGCAAATGAGATAATATGAATAAGACACTCAAACATAAATAGTTCAAATTGCTGCAGCATAATATCAGAAAACTTACTTATAAACTTGCCACTCATGAGGTGGTCCGTAGTTACATCCTTTACTATTACGATGTTCAAATTTTAAAGCCACCTGGAAAGGTCACACAAATTATGTCTTTCTTTGAAGAAAAGAGCTTGAAAAATTTTAAATCTAGCACAAGATGAATGCAGTATACATACTTCTATGGCTCCAGGGCCATTTCTATCATTACTGATACCACCAGAAATTCGGCGACCAACACACACTTGCCCAAAACCTCCCTTGCCAAGCTTTCTCTCAATCCTGTACATCGGTGAACCACCAACCTGAACCTGCTTTAACGGAATCATAGAACTCAATTAATCACAATACAGACATCCAAATTCCAAATACATTCGTTAGGTCCGACATTATTTCTCTGAGGAATAATTGACAGTTGTCTATAGTAAGAATCTTTTCCCTAAACAAGCCCATAAACACACTTTTAATCAGTAAAATATAAGCTTTTTTCAATTTAACCATCCTACTTGACCACAAAGGAAAATGCCATGATAACTCCAAATCTGTTGAACCTCGAGAACTCAACTGCTTCAATAGATGAGCCCACAGTACATGTCTGAGTTGATAACAATCCTAGGCATTTCTTATAATTGTATGCCAAGCATATCATCGTGAGTGGTGATAAAGCAAGAGTATGTGGAAGAATGTGCAGTTGAGAAATACAGTGGATGCTTAAAGAAAAGGCTATATTTTCTCAAACTTTAAAAGAAAAGGGGAAAAAGTAAAAAAGACACAAAACGAACATATTAAGAAATACCAAGAATGCAATTCAGATAGCGTCGATAAACACAAACCATTCTGGACATATTTGGCCCTAAAAAACCAATCAACTTGATAAGAACAAACTGGCCCACCAATTAAGTTCCACATGAAATTCAAGTAATTTTACTCATATAAGTAAAAATTAAGCATTGGCTTTAGCAACTAGGGTCTGACATGTCATTTTGGTAATATTTAAATTTTAAACTCCTACTAAAATCTAATAACATATATGAAGGTTATAAAATAAGTGGGATGGTAACTTAAGGTTATGCGACATCAGAAAAGGAAAGAGTAGGTACATAGTGAAAGCTAGATATTTTGCAAACACCAAAATATCCAGCATGAAAACTTACCATCCAACTTTCTTAAAATGAATTTCGCATGTTGGTACAAATTAAAGCTGATTCTAATTTTTCACTTTTAAAATTTTCAAAAAGAAAAGACATTTTTAATTAGTGACAGTTTTAAATTAGTAAAGAGTGGCTGCTGAGAATCATTTAAGACATACTAGTGCCAAGATGATGGGTGCAGACACCCACAGATCCAAAACAGAAAAATGGCTGCAACAAGTTTCTCACGTCAATTTCAGGTAATGAGCAATGAGCTAAATTTGCTTAAAGTGCAGAATGGAAGAGAAGCTATAAAACAGTAACATTATTATACAAGAATTGTTTAATTGACAATATGATCACATGGCTGTAACTAATATGATCAATATAAGTCGAGTAATAAGAGCTCTAAGCTCAAAAGAAGAGATCAGTGAACTCTCAGATTCTGAGAGACTCAATACACTGATTGAAAAATCTCCTTGGAAGAAGGTACCTGATGTTGGCTATTAAACAACTAAGGGAGGTCAAAAGTGAAGGAAATAAAAAGCATTTTGTATTTCGGACTAAATACAAGAGTTTGCCTTTGATGCAGTAGATGAATAGGACAATCCTTTAGACACAACAAATGATCTTTGTGGTCTGCATCTCAGAATCTCTAAACTTCAAGCTCTCTACGTCACACTACTACAAGCCTCTAGACGAAACCACAGATCTCTGCCTTCAGGACCCCAGAATTAATATAATGTAAGCTCTCTATGTCAAACATCAGCCAAATGATCACATCTATCTTATGCGTAGCACGTGCCATGACAAGAAATCATAAACAGAATACAACACACGAGCACAATCCACAGGGGTCAATTTTGGATACACGGTTCTATAATAACAAAAAGGCAGACATCACTTACATACTGGTTTTACCACTCTGTCATGGCTGGCACTTTTTCTGATACAACTAATGTTATTGGAGTGAGTTTTCAACTGTACCGTCACATTGACAATTAAACAATTTAATATTAATCATACTTTTCAATCAGTATACCACAACAGCAGGCAGAGAAGTTATTATTTGTTATATCCATTCACAAAATAACATTAAGCTACTTTTTTCCATCATCCAAGTCATCATTCAATGCTCCACGTTTAGCAATTTCATTCTGAGCAAGAAATTGAAACTTTGTAATACTAAATTTATCCAGCAGTAGTTTATACCAGACTCCAAACAGTTATCCAAAAATGAAATGCATATATAAACAAATTGTCAAATCTCTCCTTCCTTAATCACACATAAAGATTCAACCTTTAAATTCCAGATCACAATCTTATGAATGGAATATGCACAACAAAATATTTTTTGTTCTTTTGATACGAAAACATGCAACACAAAACATAAAAATTATAGCACCCAAAAACCCTTTATGTTCTATATTATCTGACTACACGTGCAATACAAAAATCTAGAAACTATAGCACCCCAAATGATCTTATATATGTAATGCATAAAGAATATACGAGACAATATTCTCACCCTTTCGGGAAGAGGAGCAGATACTGATTCATCAGCATTAGCCTTGTCAGCACCGCCACTACCAAAATCATCCATCGGCCTCTCTCCCACCTGTTCTCTCCACTCTGGTTGCCCCAAAACCCTCTCCTCCCGCTCTGGAACCTCCCTAATCTCGTTCGCCGCTCCTGGTGCAGCAACTATGTTGTCATCAACCGGAGCCGCAACAGCTGCAGCCGCCGCCCTCCTCCTCCTCCTTGTTCTCGTCGCAATTGCCGCGTTCTCCTCAATCGCCTCACTATTATGATTATTCTGATTCTGATTATTATAGTCTTCGTTGTTTGGTACTGGCTGCGGCTCTCTCCTGCCTCTGCGCACTCCGCCACGCAGCACCGGCATCGTTCATCCTCCAATTACCATACCCTTTTCACCTATTAAAAATAATCTCCAACAAATAAAAAACCAAATACCCCAATAAACACGCAAGCGATATCTTCCTATATATCACTTTCTTGAGCATTACAGTAACTATAAAAATAACAATAACAACAATGAGGCAAAAGCGTACCAAGAATTCGAATTGAATTGAACTGAAAAAAACAACAGATGATCGGTAATCGCGCGGAGTTAAACTGAACAATTTCAGCTTCGGATCGTTAGGGTTTTCACTTTTTCAGATAAGTAATAAAAAATTAGGGATCCGTAGAAAGAGATTGATCGAATTTTATTACGATTATATATTTCAGCTGTACTCTGCAAGAAAATCCCGAAAAGGAGAAAGGGTTTTCATTGGGAAGTAGGATTTTTTCGACCGTCGATTATGAAGAAATGACGGCGGAGATGTGTTAATGGAATAAAAGGAATTTATGGATAATCCTAAAGGTAAATTATGGTGTATCCATGATATACACGTGGAAATTCATGATTGGAGGGCAGAAAAGATTGTTTTTCAATCTTCCAATGATATTACGCCACTTGTATATTATGAACACTTTTATGGACACTATAATGTACATATAGTATGACCTGAAATTTATTTAAATGAAAAAAAGGGCTTCTTCCATTATACAGGCATTAAGTATTTAAAATTTTGACCATTGTTTGGCGATTCCAAAAAGGCACAAGGATAAAGGTCAACTAATTCATCTTGTATGTAAGTAAAATAATGGAAATTTTGTAGTGGTGTGGGGTCTCAAATAGGTTATTAATGTTATTTGATTTTGATTTTATCAAAATCACTTTTCAATAAAATAAATTCTATAATTATATGCATGAATCAATAATTTTTATTTTTACAACACATTCCTAAAAAAAAAAAATCACCCTTTTGCATATCAGTTCTCAAATTATTAACTTCTTTTTTTTTTTAATATTTGTAGCGACGCATGTCCAAATTTGACATTCAAGTAAGTAGTGTGCGTCGAAATTTCCCAAATCAGATAATATAGATAAAGGGATGATCACAATCGCGGTTGTAAATCTTCTAATTTTTGCCAATTTTACTCAAATTTTATATTTGTAGCTGTAATGGTCCAACAAACTACTTTCATTATGCCATTGCATGCATTACTTTTCTATGTCATCAAAGCAAAATCCATTACCTTATTAATCGCCAACACCCCTTAAGTGTGAGAAAAAAATCCTTAAAATTCTCCCGATCAGCACTCTCTAATCCAATTTAGGCAAAGAAATCGAATCCCTAACTTTCGTCACCAAATTTACCGATCAACATCGTAGATGAATTAATTTCAATGGCAATAGTATATTTCTAACAGAGAAATAAATAACAATTAGTAAGAGGAAACAAAAAGGAGTACCAAATATTTTATCGGAGATGTTGTTGGTATTCCAATTATTTCCTCCGAAATAATCAAACAAGAAGAAAGAGATAAAGTAGAAGAGCAACAAGGATTAGAAGATGAAGACGACGATGAAGATAAATTATTGTTTACATTTGAACTAGTAATGCAGTGATCACTAAATCGAAGAGAATAACGAAACAAAGGAGTTGTAGTTGCCATTTTATTTTTAAACAAAAACGAAAGATTTCAACGTCCATGTTTGGTTTGGTTACAAATCAAATTTTTAATAGATTTTGATAAAGTTGAAGAAAATTTGATAAAAGTCGTGGATCCTATAATTCGTGGCTGAAAAATGGGTTTTGACAAAAGGTTTTTGACAATTAAGCAAGTGGTGAAGGCGGGTGGGAGTAGGGAAGAAGATAAAATATTTTTTTTTCTCTTATTTATATTTTTTTTTCTCTTATTTACTTATATTTAATTATTTTATGTGAAAAAAATAAAAAAGTTATCATTTCATCATTTTTTAATTTGATCAAAATAAGGCTTGAACCTTGACTTTTGATCAACTAAATATTTTTAGATGGAAACCGTTCAGATATCCTTTAATAGCACGAGTCTAAAAAGTTTAGGACTAACGTTGTTACAAATCAAAAATTTGGATAAAATTTGCTAAAATCTAAAATGTTTGAGATTGTGATTGCAATAAACGTTAAATAAAAAGAAAATGAAAAACAAAAATAGAACAAAATCAACATCTCCCCCACGGTCCCACCCCATACACACCATGTTGACAATCCGTACCCTACAATTTCGAGCCACATCCTACTCAACCCTTTTGTTCTAAACCCAAGTGTGAGCCCTCTCACTTCACCTAATCTCTCTCTCTCTCTCTCTCTCTCTCTCTCTCTCTCAAGCACAAAACCTTTCATCTCCATCTGAACAACTACAACTCTCAAAAATGGGGCTCGAAGATTTCTGCATAGTTGCTACGGTAGACTTTGTCGAGCTTTGTAGCATAATCTACCTAAACTTCTCGACAGGTATCAAACGAAAAGTTGAAATTAAGCTAAAAATTGGTATTGAATCAAAGTTACCAAACATTTTTCTAGAATTCCTTTACAAAACAAGGAATTATACCGGCTAATGGATAAATTCTTAAAATGGCAATTCAATTTGTCACTTAAAATGGGGTTTCTCCATATATATATATATAGGCTATAAGGTACTTTTATCGTTTGTGGCATGCTGTGAGGTCCGTTGTTTGTTGGAGACAGGAAGCTTATGGAGTTCAGAAGGCTGATGGAGTTCAGATCAGTTGCCTTAATTTGTTGTCTCCATAGTTATCCTGCAAATAAAAATAAGACACATCAATACAATTTTACACATAATCAAATTTTAATTTTAAATTTTAATTTAATGCCATTAAAATTAAAATCTATTTTGAGGATTAAATTAAAATTTGGTGATATGTAAAATTGCAATGATGTATTTATTTTTTATTAGTAGGACAATAGTCAGCAAATTGGGGACACGAGGAGGAGGGATAAAGGTGGACGACAATGGTTGATATAACACCTCGAAATATAGTGTTTAAATGAGAAGTTTAGAAGGTTTAAACATTTTTCATTCTTTTAAGAACGAAATATCCACTTCATTGAAAAATGGTTAGTTTGGGAAAAATATACTCATAAATAGAAATTTATCATTTGTTGAAAGTTAAGGGTGCATTTAATTTGATGTTTTCAACTGTTTTAGTTTTAAATTTTGTAAAATATTGGAAACGTGTTAACAAAGTTGAACTTATAACATAAAACTCAATGTATTTTTGACATTTTGAGGTGAAAATTTTGAAAATATTCAAAATATGGAAAACATGCGTTTAAATAAATATTTATTAAATGAAAATATAAATTTCCAACAAATAAAATTAAAAAAAATTTTGAAAAAATAAAATCTAAAATTCTAAAAAAATAAAATTATAAAATTTCAAAAAAATAAAAATTATAAAAATAATAAAAATAATTCGAGCTCTTATGATTACTTACATAAAAATTTGAAAAATATATATATATATTTTAATGAACACCAAAAAAAGAAAAAAAAATTCTGAATCCACATCATTAATTTTTATTTTAATATTGTGAACTATTTATTATTTATTTTACTTTTGTATCAAGAAAAAAGTTTTATAAGATTCACCAATTTCAAATTTCATGAAATAAAATATTATATAATAATTTTTCAAAATTTCAAGTCAAACGTGTTTTCTAATTTTCTATTTTGAGAAATAAGTTTTCAAAATGAAAAATCAACGTGTTTTTAACAATCATAAATCAGACTCTCAAAATAAAATAATTTAAAATGAACTCAAACTAAAAAATGAAAATTGAAACCGAAACCAAACAGATCCTAAACTTTTGAAAACGAAGTCTTGCAATAAATGGAAAAGTTGTTTTGGCCAAATCTTGAGAGAACTAATCCTTTTTCTGAGCCCCATTTTTTGGAAAAAATGAATTTTTGAATAGTGTATTGATGGAAAATGTGTGGTTAAAAAATAAAGAAAAGTTTTAGATTTGCGTATAATATTATTTTATTGAATAATGTGTGGTTGAAATGATATTAAAACACTGTTGAAAAATGTATTTTTCCAAAAAAAATGGGGTTCAAACAAGGGCTAAATAATAAATAGCGATTCCTAGAATTTAATTTAAACTTTTTGTAGATAGATTTTATTTAGCTGTGATTATTATTTTGAACTTTTAAATAATTAAGGGGGCATTTTAAATTAAAATTTTCATTTAATTGAGCATGGCTCAAAAAAAATTATTCAATGGTGCCCCCCATATCCAGGACTTCATTTCTAGCCCTGGTGGAAATTAAAATTTAGATTTTAATATAAATTAAAGTCAATAATTGATTTCAACTACATATTTCATGGGGTTCACAACTTTTCAATCACACATTTCATCAACTTTTATTAAAATCTACTAAAAATTTAAATTTAATTCCTGCAAAAGAGGCTAGAGTATATTTAAAAATGAAAACTAAATCTTAGAATCGAGTGAGTATATTTGGCAAGTGTTTATAAAAGTCAAATTATTCTTTATTCATATATTTTATAGTATTCACAAGTACTACTCATTTTTTTATCCTTCATTTCTATTTGTTCGTAAACACCAGCAAGTTGGAACAAACATCAAGAGTAGATCAAGAAAATGGAACATTAGATCATTAAATTCGATCAAGAAAAGTCAAACATGTAATGATTTTGACTAGTGACAAGAAGTATATTTGAATGAAACTTTTCATTTAAGTTCTTGTAAAAAATGGAAGAAGTAAATATACATAGACCAAGTTTTGCATCCAATATCATTTTATAAATAATGCTGCTTGAACAGGCTTTGGAGATAGGGATGTTGATAGCGCTCGTGTTGCTAAGCATTTTTTTTTTTCCAAATTGTCCAATGAGGTTACACCATGTGTCCCTCCATTTTTATCCTCGGTCACTGAACCTATTTGTGTAGCATGATTACTATTTTATATGGATGAATAACGATTGTTGATCTAAAAATGGAGGTTGCCAAAAAGAAATAATGTCATATTCTATAAGTAATATTTTCCTTTTTAGAAAAAGAAAAGTTGAAATAAGTATTTGCCTATTTAAAGTTACCTTAAATAACATCTTAAGCAAAAAAATGTCTATTAGTAATTGACAATCAAAGGAATAATATGCCAAAAAGAGTACCCTCAACATCAAAATCAATGCTCTAAAAGGCGTAACGTGTGACAATGCATGGATGTCAAGTTATGGGTTAGGCGAGTTTAGGCAAGGCATATACATAAAAAAGCGTTATAAGCGTTTTCTTATTTTAATATTATTTTAATTTTTAAAATTTTTAATCAATCAAAAAATATTTAATAGTTAAAAATAATACAAATTAAACATCTAAAATAGATTTATATGAACTTTACACATTTTTTCAAAGTTTTTCCAATAAAAGGATAAGTTTCAAATGAAAGTTTTCATTTGTTCAAGACTTCAA